TTCGCTTATCGCGCGCGCGTCTGTCAGATTTACGACGTTTCCTCGGCCTGTCTTCTCGACGAAAACGCTCGCGTTTCTCAAGACCGTCCTCGTGTATCGTAAAAACGCTTTAAATGGCAAGATTAGACTTTGTTCCGATGTAGGAAATATGTGTCGAGGACTATCGCGTAAGGTTCTATCTACGAGACTTCAACCTCCAACCGATTTTAATCGGACGCTATCTTGGTCGGTATTTTCAACATTCTTTTTACGCGAAAAATCGCAGCGTCTCTTCTTCTCGATTATATCGGAAAATATTTCGGAGAAAAAGAAATTGGAATATAAATAGGCGACGTGCGATTAACGCAAGGGTGAAATAATAAAGTTCATATCAAATTTTCCTTTCGAGAATTCGCCGATGTTGCCAATAACAACTATATGTATACTGTTAATGCAGTATAAGTATAGACATTCTATTCAACAAAAATGACCGTTTACCATGTTCCTATAGTAAAGATAACGCCAAAGAGATTTTTATAAATATTATCTTTTATTATTTTAGATTTTTATAAATTCGCTAATAAAAAAGACCGCTTTTCTGAGGGATTTACGAAAGTATATCGATTTCTTTAACGGATAAGAGGTTGCTCAACGAGACACGCGTCACGTCATCGCGCACGCTGCTCCGATTTTACGCGAGCGAATGTAAGATCGCCCGATAAAATCGCGCCTGCGAGTTTCATAACGTCTGCGTAGTGCGGACGCTGGAAACGTTGGGTTAGGTTACGTCCTCGCGCCGCGGCGCGGCCTCCCGGTGTCGCAAGACCGGGGCGTTTCGCTTTCACCCTTGCTCAACGGCGCGCGTTAATTGGGGAAGTCGAGCGCGTTAACGTTTCCAAACGCATTCTCTCGATTTTTACCACCCTCGTCTTCCCCGCGTGCCAGACGCGCGCACCGTCCTCGCGCCCTGTTTACCGGCCCTGCGCATCGATTCGAGCGCGTTCGTGACATTGATCCCTCTTACCTTCGTTTGTACTCCGGATCTCGCCGACGGATCCCGCCGTCCTTGTTTCCTTCCTCTCGGCGTCCTTCCTTCCAAGCGTGGATTTAAATCTCTCGGGGGGGCCACTCCCGCTGCGACGGTCCTACCCAAACATGGAAACGCTTTCGGTCGACACTTGGAGGGACACGATGACACAACCTTCCACCGTGGAGGAGAGAGAAGGAGAGCATTCGAGAGAGATGGCCGTTTAACGACGGATCCGCTCGCCTCGTCACGTCAGCTGGCAGCCGAATTTGGCAGCTTTTCCAGCCCTCGTATTTCGTTTCCTTTGTCATGACAGCGAAACGTCGATGGACCCGGGAGCGAGCGAGCGAGACACGGGCGTACGGCGTACATACGTATACACGTTATATATATGTATACGCGTATCTATAGAGACAGGCCGCCGATCGAGCGAGCGGCCGAAACGGAGTAGACGGACGGAATCACTGTACGCGACGAGATTAGGACTATTGGGAGGCATGTCGCCGTCGCCGGGACACTCGGCGACACGTGCGAAGTTGCGCGCACACGACACACGGGGGAGGTAAAAATAAACCCCTTGCACCGGAACGGAATTGTCGCGTATACTGGCGGAGCTTTGGCGGACGATGGCGATGCGATGGCCCGGGTTTGCGCGCACGACCGACCTCCGTCGATCGACGCCACTCGCCGCGGCCGTCGGCGATGCGGATACTCACATGACGAGGCGCGAGACGATCGACGATATCATATTAACGGGTCCTGCGGCACGGCGGGACGCGCGCGAACGGCTAGAAACGAGCGACTAAATGCGGACGGCCGTCTGCAGCACCGCCGCTCACACGTCGGCCATGTTGAACTGGCAGCTGGCTCGCTCGCCGCTGCGCGGGTGACGTCACGGCGTGTTTTCGTCACGTGACGCGCCAGGCCTGTATACGTATACGCGCGCGCCTTCATCCGGGCGATTTTGTGGCTCCTTGCGGGTTCGACCAGGCATTAATGTCCGTTTCTGCCAATGTAGATTAACTTTTATCTCGATTTAACGTACTTCTTATTCTTTTCTAATTCTTAGAACTGGAAAAAAATAAAAAGTTAAACGGAGATTCAAGTTAATCTATTTTGGTAGAAATGGACATGAATCGGATAGACAGTTCTATTTTCGTATTTTCTTTCTACGATTTCCATGCGAAAAGAAATGTGCTATTTGATTTTTAGAACTAGAAATTTAACGTCAAGCATAATTCGTAAAATGATATGATAAATTATAGCACGCAATCTCTTTGAATTATATCGATAGCGGTTACGTCATGTTGTTAACGAGTGAATTTAAAATCAAAAGACGTTATTGAACATCAGCATTTCGTATCTATGTGATATATCGCGATATGAATAATTGGAGTGTTTTGCATTACGCGCGATATAATTCATGTTCCACTGAAGTTTTCTCAAACATTTCACCTGCTCCAAAAATCGCGACCGTAAAAACGTCTTCCGGCTTACCGCCAACCGCGTAAACACACAAATTCTCCGGCGAACCAAGGAACGGCAGAAAAAGAAAACTAAAAAGTAGGTTAAGAAGAGAAAGAAAAAGAACAGGGAATTCCCATCAGCGAAACGTTTTCTGGTACGTCACGAGCGGACAAACAAGCATTACTTTTGTGGTAAAAGAGATAAAATATTCAAGTTGAAATCCAGATAATTATATGTAAAGCTTTCGCGTACCGAAATACGAAAAAAGAAATCTCCTCGGGGTGTCTATATTTCCACAAATTTTTCTTCGAAGAAGAATGTCACAGTAAATGCTAAAGAACTTAATTTTTTATTTCAATATGAATTAAAGTCTTTATATACGGCGATGTATCGTGCTTGAACAATTTATGATTTAAATTACTTGCATGAAACATCTAATTAATCTAATTTTTCTCGTTGATAATACAAATTTATTTCAAAGACATACACCGAAAAAAAAAGAAGTTCCGAACAAAACATTACTCAAATTAACGCGTTCATAGTTTCGTAATTCTTATAAGAATTTGATAATCTTTTTCTTGGTTGAACTATAAAAATGACTTCATCCAATCAAATTTTCTTCGTAATATAATCTCATTTCAAGATTTTCACGTTGAAACTAAAGATATTTTCAAATCCAAAAATATTATTCGTTTGTTCTGTGTAACCAAGCAAATATCGAGATTCATCATCGTTCCCGAGAAAAACAGAAACACGTGTTTTTACGGGAAGCGCTTTCTTGTCCAGCGAAGGAAAGGAAGGAGTAGAGGGAAAAGGCCGAGAAAACCGGGGCTTATACGTGGCGTGTTACGTCGATGCGTGTGTACATCGCGGAACGTGGATATACGCGTGACACGAGTACGCCGTGTGCGTGTCGCGCGCGCACGACCAGAGTCCGGAGTAGAGGCAGCGGTTCTCCTCGGAGCGGCGCCCTTCTCTCTTCGCTCATGAAAACGTGTCTTCCCTCTCGCGCCACCCGCGCGCGCGACCCCACGCGCCTCGCGGTCGGTACTACGGCCTAAGCACTCCTCCCCCCCCTGCTCCTTTTCCAACGACGCTCTTGTGCAAGGGATAGCAGCGAAGTGAAGTGCGACGCGACGCGACGCGGTACTCCGGGACGAGCGGGAAGAGAAGAAGGGAAGAAAGGGGAAAAGAGGTGAGAGAAGGAGGGAGAACGGAGAGAGAGCACGCGGCGCGCTCGCTCGGCTCTCGACGAGGTGGGAGGTGGGAGCGGATCGCGCTACGGCGGGACTGGCGGGAGGGCCGGGAGGAGGTTAGCCAGACGGGTGGGAGGGAGCGCGCGCGAGCGCGAGGGGGGAGGGGCGTACGGGCCGCGGGAAGGAGCCGTGCCTCCCTGCCGTCCGCCCGCAGTGCGCGCTACGCGATATCACTGACCGGTCATGTGTGTGTCACTCTCACGTTCACACTGGTACCGTTCGGAGTACTTGGTTGCCGCGCTGGTGGTGTTGCCGCCGCTGCCGTTACCGTCCGCTGCCGCGTAGTGCCCCCGAAGAAGCGTTTTAAACACGAAATCCGGGTGCGCGCGGCCCCCTCCCCCCGGAAGTCCGAAAGTGGTGCCCGCGGTCGATCCTCGGTCTCGCGCGCGCGAACGTCAAAACAGTGCTCGCGGTGACGGTGAAGACGGGAGAAGACGCGCGGAGCGATTCTCTTCTTTCTCTCCGTTGCGTCGATATCGACTCGGGGATCTCGGGATATCGCGTCGCCGAGACGAAAATAAAAGCGCACAGGTGGAGAAACGCGCGAATTCCTATCGTAGGAGAAGACGCGCGCGCGCCGGGAGAGAGCAGGGGGAAAGCACCGTGAAGTTAGGCGCGAACGCCGATCACGCCGGACAGGCAGAAGGAAAGAGGAAGAAGACCGTTTGAAGTTGAACGCGAGTGAGTTTCGCGGCTGTTTTCGCGCAAATAAGTGTTTCGCGCGCGCGTCTCCACAGCCAGACAGTTCAGACGTGCGAGAATTGCGAGAAACAGGAGCAAGGAGTGGCTGTGCGGAGCGTGAGGAAGGAGAGAGAGAGAGAGAGAGAGAGAGAGTGGCGGCACAGCGAGGGGACCGGGGAAGGGAAGAAGGATAACACACGAGTGACCGGCCGTCGCCTCATGGCCCTTCGTGATCTTGGGCGGGAAGAGATCGGCCGCGGTGTGGTGCTTTGTGCCGTCGAAGAATAGTGATCGTTTGTGACAGGGTTCCCCCGCGCGGTGTGCTCGGTGCGGTGCGTGCGCCCGTTGTTGTGTTTCTTTTCTTTTCGGGGGCGAGGCACGCTCCTCGGAGGATAGAAGGAAAAACCAGGTCGGCGTCAGGGGGCCGGGGCCGGGGACGGGAGAGTGAAGTGAGCCGAGTGAGCGAGCGAAAGAAAGAGAGAAAGAGAGTGAGAGAAGACGGAAGAGGAGCGGGAACGGTGGGGGAGGGAGACTGGGGGCGCCCGTTCGCGGGTGGGCGGGAGGGGGCGGGGGCGCGGGGGGGACGCGCGAGGGAAAGGGTGACTGGCGGACCCGGCTGTGGCGATCCGAAGTCGCGGATTCGGCACGCCGCGGTTTACCGAACGTAATATGGCGTACAAGTTTCGCGAGGAGATCGTGGGAAAGAGGTTTCTCTCGGTGAGTGGTTTCACCAAGCTGAAGGTGAATAAGATTAGTGAGTGGGGTTGGCGTGCGGGGGTGATACGTGCCGCCAGTCACAGGGATAACGGCTGTCATGATCTCCAGGTGAGTTATTGTGCCTAAACTTGTAACGTTTTCTTTTTTTTCGTCCGCGCGCGGTTTACGTTCCCTAGAAAGCGGAGGCGCGAGCCCGCGCTCTCGTTTCAGGTGTGTCGTTACCGCGTATAGTTTCTACGCGGGTCGATTGTTGGTCACCGCGACCTGGCGTCGCGCCGCGCCGTTTGTGTTTACATCGCGGTGTGCTGTGCGAGCTGCGACCCTTCGTGCGAATATTCCGAGGGTGTGCGTGTACGTTACGTATACGTGTATATTTACGTGTACACGCTCGCCAGCTCTCGACGATCTACCGAAACAGGCGTATTTTTGGAACAGTGTGCGTGAATTTCAAGTATACCCTCTATTCCAAAAACGCGGCCTGTTTCGGTAGTCACCTCGACGGCGACATGATGTCGCGAGGGATAAAAATCGAAAAATTCTATTATTAGACATCACGCGATTGTGCCACACTTTCAATATTTTATGATTATCGAGCCACTTGTGCGATATTTACAATTACGTTCCGTTTGCACAGTTCAGTCAGAGTGATAATTGTAATTGCGAAATGTTTTTGTAATGCCGGATTACGAGTGGCGTTTTCCGAAACGATGTAACAACATAAGTGTATGCTGCATTATTTGAAACAAAATCCTCGTTGCGAGCAATTCGTAGTTGCGAATGTTATTCGATACGCAAAATGTGAATCATTAATCACGAATATAGGTACGCAAAATCATTAGTCAAGTCATTTCGAGTTTCGTGGAAAGATTGGAGTGGAGTAACGGTCGTAGTGCAGATGCATATTTCTGAGAAACCTGTGACTCTTTTATAAATTGCGAAATATTTGCGATCAATGTAGACAATTTTTGTTATGTCTCGGCACGAGACGGATAAATTGAATAAAGCAGGGCGATGTGACGGTTCTTTGGAATTTACATACGTATCTTTTTAATGCAGAGATTATATAGATCTCTTTATTTTCTAAGGATTCGTCGAAGGTCGTATGTATTTTCAACGGTGAAAATTTGTTCGAATATTTGTCGACTATTTTATAAGCACGATACGCTTGACACGTTACTAGTTCCTATTAATATTTCTATTATTAACAGAATTTATATTAATCATGCAATTGCATGTTATTCATACAATTGCGTATTATAATACGTATCTATTTTGACGCACATCAAACACACATGAATCGCAGTTACGCTTGATTTGGGAGGGAAACGAAGATTGTTGTTTGCATTGCATTTTTATGTTACTACTTTATGAATACTGAAAACTTATGATTACGATTATGTTCACATCCGAGGTTGATTTTACTACTGAATCGCAACATCTCTGCCAGTGGTTCAATCGTAAATCCTAAGTCATGCAGTGCCATATTAAAAATTAGATCGCTTTTTTGTCATAAAAATCGTTGAAGCGTTGTAACGCACAGATCGCGTCGTGTCTTTGAATACCCTATCACATTTTGACGTTAAACAAAACGATATATATTCGAAGAATTTGTGATTATCATCGAGGCTTGATATAATTGTGTGCCTAAGTTTATCTTGTCAAGTTTATCTGTCCCTTTCTTTCAAGTCAAGTCATAACTATTTCAGTTTTCGAGGACATTGCCAACTCACATATCAACGCTGTTTGCGCACACATACACGCGACAATTAGTGTACATGTTTCGCGTTGCTTGGCCGGTGATATTTGCCAATTTATGCCACGTGGCCAAATACCGCGATTATTATGTCGGTCGGGCGTAAAATCTCGGAAAATCTTGGTCTCGGTGGTCGATTTTTGCATTCGTTTCGCGACGTCAAAGTCATAATGTTCGTTTTCAAGCCGAGTAAATTGCATCTTCGAAAAATCATCGTCACGGTTTCGTTACGCAATGAGTCGAATTTCGGTGCACTCGGACATACACGCGCGCGCGAAATTAATTCGACGAAGCAATACTTATCTCTTATGTAATAAAAGAAGCAGTTGTCCTCGGGTATCATTTATTGGCCAATGAAACAGTCATCTCGATGACGATAAGAATATTAGCTCACCTACGTATTATTATCTTAATTAACGCCATAATTATTGAGAGGTTTTCGCAGAAGAACGCTGCGAGTTTCAGATATGATATTTTGGTGGGGAAACGTTATATTACACTTTGAGAATATTGATAATTATTATGAGAAATATAACAATATGTTTTATGTTATGTGTTTATGTAGAATTATATTAATTATATATATATATATATATAATTATTATATAATTTCTTTTTATTAATATATTATAAAATATTGTATTAATATATTAAGGGATATAAGACCTAAATTTCTCTGTATTCTGCAAAAATATCACTTCTGAACAAGTCTTATTTTGAATTATGTGTTACGTACAATATAAATTTGATAATCTCCATTAGCGATATATTTAATAACAAGCTTATATTCATGTATTTTGGATTAATAATTTTTTCGAAAATCAGGAATAAAGTTAATAACAGCATTTTTGTCGTTAATAAACAAAATGATATTTCATGAAAAATCACCTCGTAACAATACCACTTTATTAGTATTACTAAAATGTTTTATATTCCAAAAGCAATTTCGCAAAATTTAACACTGATAAATTTTGAGTACATATTAAATAACATTTCCACTTGCAAACTAACATTTATTAATTCCTATTGTCTCACGGTTTAAGCATTCTTCTTAAATTACATCATTCATCCAGTCCAACACTGACTGTCAGTCGCGATGCGGTCAATCGATCTCCGACACTCGGAGTTAATAATACCAGTATTTATTCTCGCGGCACTCATTAACAGTTCGCCCGGTTTCAACTATCATTAATGGCCCTCCACGGCATTTGCGAATTTATCGCGTCGTCAAGAAGCATCTGGGCGCCTCCCGGAGTGAGTTCAGTTGACATCTGTTTAGTATTTGACGCTCTAAAGGGTCAACGACTACAAACGTCATCAGGTATTCCGGGGTCATCACCGCCGCGGCCGCCGGGTCTCTCAGGCGGCTACGTTTTCCGGTTTTCTAATTTCAAAAAGTGCTCTTGTGCTCCTCGGCTCGCAGAAAACGTGTCGATGAACTTGGCTAATAAGAGAGCTCTTGGCTCTTTGCCGGAGGTGAAAGTTATCGGGCTATCGTTTTAAATCCTGGCGAATAATAATCCTGGGGACGCGCGAGATATTCGAAATAAGCGAAATAGTTTTTTCTCTACAGAGAATAAGAAACACAAGATAGAAAAAGAAAGATAAAATTATTGTTTCTTTTTTTATCTTTCTCTCTTCTTTCTTACCACGCGTATCGATAATGTCGACGATAAAGAGAAGCACCTTGAAGTATTGACAAGTCGTTGAAATATCGAACGCGGAGAAAATAGATGTTTTATCGATAAGGGCGTGCTCGTCACCTTGAAATTTCTCTACGCTAACTTTAGATGTGAAATGATGCATAGCTCGTACACTATAAATCGCAGTCCGAGATGACAATGAAATACGAGACATATTATATATTTATACACAACCACGTAAAAATTATTATTTATCCTAATCATCGATTTGATTAAAAATCGTAGTTCAAGAGAATTTATGCGCTTTAAAATATTTATATGAGATTTCTTTTCTTACACATACGCATTAAGAAACGCAAGATATTCTTTGAGTATCTTTGCAGAAACTGCAAATAACGTTTGTAGTGAAATATTGTAATTAACTGTGATTTTTATCCAAGTATCAGGAACGTATGTTCTGTAATTTTCTTTTAATTATTTTTCGAAATTTACACTATTATCTTGTGTGCGTGTGTGTGAGCAACCTTTGGAAAGATGTCTATTTCAGGATAACTGGTTTCCTCGATTCGAGGATATGCATTATAGCAAGATTTTTCATACATAATTCCTCCCATTGTTTCAATGCCGCTTTCGCGGCGCACCTGCCGCGTCCCCGAAGAAGCACCGTTATACTCGGTGCACGAAATATACGCGAACACACGAAGCGCCTCGAGGGAGACTGCGAGGTAATGCGGTGACGCAGTGTGGTTGGAAGGTGCATTGGCCAGTAAAAAAATTTTGGGTACGGCGAATCGGTCAGCTAGGGATTACGAGTGAAAGGGGGGGGGACCTGTTGCAAGGATCGGAGAGATGGTACCCCCGAATTATCGAGGACCCGCGATCGTGCTACAAACCCTGAAATTTGCGGTTCGCGAAACCGCGTACCGGCCACCACGGCACCGCCGCGGCCGCGTACCCAACACTTTCGCATAATTTGTATAGCGGGGCGATGTTTTGTTGCTGTCGAAAATTGCGGGCGAAATTCCGGGTCAAACCTGACGGGGGTGTCCGCAAATTCGCGAGCGACGATAAGCACTCTCGCACGTGCGAAACAGGTCCCGGAGAATTTCCAGGAGGTTTATTTTCGAATGCGGTAGTTACCCTGTTCTTGAATCGTTGCGAATCCCAACGAGATGCAAACGAGATTTCTTTCTGATTTTCGGATAGATATCTCGCCTTAAATATAAACAACAAATGCGCGTCGCTCGTATGCATCGCGTAAGCCTGGATTACGCGTATCACTGCGTAAGTGCTGTACGAAGACTTTTTTACGTTACGAAAAGTTATTCTTTTCATTAGTGCGCGTTGCGTTATCTTATCTTATCGGAAAGAAAGTCATGGTCATGACGTCCGTAACAAACGTCGTATCGTTTTAATAGCCTGACGTTTGCATTTCTTTACTTTCCTCATACGAAGACCTGAGTTATGAACAGATTGCAAGTTTACAATAACAGCAAGAACGGATCAAGTCCTTTTGTGACTATACATTTCTGTCAGAAAAAATTACATTCTCTTCTCTAGAAAATCGAATTTGTAATTTCGATAAATACATGTGTCATTTATCTTGAGAAAGATATTCTCTTGTATTTTTGGTAAAAAGAGTCATGGACGTTAAAGATTGATTTTTCGGCAATTGAAATTAATTTAAAGCGAAACATCTTTTTAGCTTTTTA